CGAATAAGGTTCAGAAGAGAACGGTTCCAGGCAGCTCAGGCAGATATATAGATATGAAGCAAAACCACATAGTAATACGTAATTGTCGAATGCGTATGTGATTTCTTTACAAGTTCGTGGCGAAGAGATACGCATGTTAATTTCACCGTCCATGTGGCCACTTTATGGGCATCGTGCCAACATAAATCCTGAACCCACCGATGACGTAAAATTGTTATTTTAAGATGATAAATCCATTAGTTTATTCAATGTTGACGCAACGTTGTATTAGTTCCTTTATTCATTTGGACAAATTAGCCAATTTCCCTGCAACTTCAATTTCTAAATGTTTTGGAAAAATGTCCATTCGGTTAATTGTGTGCGAGGTGATAAAAGTTGTCTCTAGTAATCAAAATTATAATCATAATACATGTACTCTTATAGTGAAACATTATGGTCTTCGCCAAATTTAATAAATTCAATGGAACAGACAGATATCAACAAGATTTGAAATTGTCTTGTGATATGGCTATGATATCTCAAACCGAAACACACACACGCAGCTACGAATGCGATACAAATGTTCAATGTAACTAAAAGTCTTCTCCGTTGGCGTGCTTTACAAATTTAAAATACTTCAATTTACTGAATAATCTCAGTAGACATTCCTAACACTGTGGTTGTGGTATATAATTAAATCAGAAGTCTATACAAGACTGATCTTACAGATATGTGTCGTGAATAGAATGTACTCTACAGATACCGCGATAGATTTGAAACGCTAAAGAAATCAATTACACCCAACTTAAGTCCCAGTTCGGAGTAAAAAAAAAAACTGATTAGAAAAACGCCAGTCACCGGTGAAATTATAAAGCCCGATTCTAGACTACAGTAATCGAATAATTGGATTAATATGCAATTGGAAGGGCACAGAAAGAACAATTTCACGACCATTAAAATACGATTGTCTCAGTTGGACATGAGAAATACTGATTATTATGCGCGTAAAATATAATATTGTATGTGATTGTGACAGATTGTTGTTGTTTTAAAGATAAATCCGATTAGCATTTTGTGCAAAGTGTTCCTCACCATCAAGTTTTATTTAGAGGATGATTTTCAAGTTTGACGTCAAAATGATGAAAACCATGTGTCCAAGCTAATATTATTTGAATATAATAGAAACAATAGGAATGTGTCACCATGGATACTGATTCGGACACCATTCAATGGTTCATTCAGAGGGTTTAAGAGTGATGCAATGTGAAAGTAAAACTAAATGTAACTTTGCATTCACGCAGTCAATTACCAAGACATATAAAACTACAGCCCCTTTTCGCATGTAAGGTCACTGATGTAATACACCTATAATGTACACAGTTACCCGATCTGTACTTCTATCATCGGAGTCAGTCATCTAGGGGATACATACTCAACGACTGCCGAGAAACAACCGTTTTTGTGAAGTGCGTTTCTGACGCCTCATATAACCTTATAATATTAAATAAACTGTTACAATTTAAGTATAGAATCATTGTGTCACTGGATTCGTCAGTCAGCGCAAATACAAAGCTTACGTATGTTTTAATATTTTATACTTTGAAATTCATCCTTATAATGGGTTCGTGACCTGATTATGTACAATACGACCTTGGTATCATATTGATGGATAACCTTAGTTGATCCGCTCATGTTGGCACTATTGCGACAAAAGCATACAAAATGCTAGGTCTAATAAAGCGCACATGTAGACAATTTACCAGTATTACATGTCTGCGCAATTTGTATATTTCGCTAATTAGAAGTCGTCTTGAATACTGTACTCAAATCTGGTCACCACATCAAAAATACCTGGTTGGTAAAGTTGAACGGGTCCAACAAAAGTTTGTCAAACACTCATGTTATCTTATTTCTCGCCCATTTGGATCATCACAGTATCATGAACTATGCCTTCGTTTTAATTTATTGTCACTTGAGAATCGTAGAAATTTCCTTGACTTTGTCTTTTTGTATAAATGTCTTAATAATAATTTTGATTCATCCTACACTATTTCCAACATTTCTTTTTATGCCCCCTCCAGAAATCTACGCTCCGTATATCTCTTCAAAATATCTCTTTGTCGCAGTAATCTCAAAAAATATTCTTTTATCTCTCCATGTCTTGACTTTTTAAATTGTAATTATATTGCTGGTTCAGTAGACATTTTTACGAGTCTGTCGTCTTTTAAGACATCTGTTTTAATGCCATAAGTTGAGCTTTGGGTCTTTCTTTTTATTTTATATCGTTTTTGTAAGTACGTTTGTATTTGTATTTTATGAGTGCCTGTAATTGTGGAAACCTGTTGGTATCTCAAATAAATAATTAACAAAATAAATAAAAAATAAAACAATTCGTTTGATTTTTCAAGCATCGAGTAAACAACGACTTGGAAGATGGAAACATTTATAATTATTCGTATCTAGAAATATTACTGAGCGAAATTATTTGAAAAAATAAATATCTATTGTCATTAATATATAACCAACAATATTCAAAAAGTTGACATTTAGTTTAGAGTGTTCCAGTCTAATTATGAGTAATCCCTGTGTTCCATGGGAAGTTTACTCTCATAGCGCATCGCACGTATAAGTGGAGATGACAAATTCTAATTACATTTATGTTTATATTTACAGGTCCATACATTTATTGCAAACAAAATAAGATAATGTGACTGTTCTCATGTCTCATTAATTATGGCATTTATGGCATCCCGTCGTGATGATGCAATAAATATACTAATAGTTTGAAATACACGTAAGTTACTACGTACGTAATTGGAGGTTTTTAAAATTGTTCATACAATACAGATTAAACAATGATATTGCTGACTGCCATAAACCAATTCGTGCAATACGTAAATGGGCGATTAAGTGGAATGAAAAGTGATATAATAATTCAAAAAAAAAGTCAATAACTGTCGGTATTGACCAATTAACTGAACATCGCCTCAAACCATACAAGCACAACCATAAACGGTCATGTTTGAAGTCATGCAATCTGAAGAAAATACTTCGTATCAATGTAAGAATCCTTCGGACGAGAATTCCAGTAACTAGTTGTTTGTTATGAATCCGTATTCATTGCCTTTTATACGTGGTACGGCGTTGCATATTGTAATAATATATACTAGTATTGGTTTCTACTTACACACATATGTGGCTATAAACTTTTTGTGTGTTCGATAAAAACAAAAGAGGCGTAAATATTTGTAACTGGAGCTACATCTGAATAGAACAACTGTATATTATTGTATTTTACGACACAGCCATTTGAGTGATGCGCGTCGGAGCGAGCTAGACTAGCATGGGACGAATTAGCTACGTTCAACAAACCACGTGCACAGAGGGTCAAATAACCAACAGTGTCGTGTTTATTACATGATAGTGTAAAGGTAACGGGTTACAGATGCCGGGTGGCAGCCTTCTGTGCCTTTTACCCTCGTACATGCGTTATTATTTCAACAAACAAATTAAGACTGAACCACGTTTATTTTTTGCTTCATACTTATTTGTAATATAGTTGTGAATTTTAAATTTGAAAGCAATCTTCCGCGAAAATTAAAACTCAAGATGGGGTTCTTGATCCCCGCATCATCATCGACAGGCTAATATGAGAGGTCACATGGCCCGACCTCGGGTCAATACAACTCGCACGCGATTCCATCGCCATATTAGTGTCCCGCCGTTATTTTGAATAATAATTATACGAGAAACTGGATGAAAACACCACGTTCTAAGTGTTGGCTGAGACACGTGTGTACTTTAACTATATAATAGGGACTTGTCGTCGAAGTATTTTCACAGTGCGTGCATAACTGCAAACTGAAAGTGACGTCGCATGGAAAGCAGGAGACCAATAAATGGTAACATATTTTATCAATGTATTTACACTTTTATTTAATTCTCAGCAAATGTTCTTTTCACGTTACTACGCAATGTAATTGTGTTACGTCGTAATGATGCCACACAAATATAACGCATTCAATTGTTAGCAGCCGTGACGTCATTTAAAAAAAAAAACGACAATATGGCGCGAGTTGTCCATTAACCAGGCGACCTCAGTGCGGTATTCGAAACCCTCCGAGACTCTTGGTATAATAGGAATGTTTTCTTTTCGTATTATTATTATTATTATAATCATACGACATGCGGTAGTCGAAATTATCATTACTGTGTCTGTGAATGTAACGGTGGAAATCGAATTTCGATGAAAGAGCTCTTCAGTAACTCTCCACCACATTTAATGAATCTTGCAAGAAAGAAACAGTGTCAATAACCTACATACATACTGCGCATTAATCGTGCTTAATATTAGGGTAAAACAGACCATAAGCGTGTTTTTACTCGACCTTGATAAACTTGTTTCAGAATTCCTCGCTGTGAAGGTCACCCGGGACTATAAGTATTCCCCCTTTTGTTTGCAATAGAAATTGAGACGGTATCCAATATTTTTTTTCTGTGTCACATTAATTTAACAAAGTCGAGCTCCGTATAAAAGGAGGGTAACTCATTTTTAAATAATTTTCTTGCATGCGTCTTGCGTTTGAATTCAATTACGCAAATTCAATTCATTGTACATAATGTTTATTTACAGAAAAATGGACACTATTTGAATACGATTTCAAACTCTGAAATGGGATAAATAGTATGCACTTGTCTTGTGGTTGGTTACCGTTTACCTTTTATATGTTAACAAACACCTATCAGACGTCAAAGTTTAATCGTATACTATACCATCTCAGGAAAGAATGTAATGCCTATGAAATGCTTTCCGGAAATTTCCAATTCGTGTACAATCGTGTCATGTTTATTCAACCCGGCGCTGACCTGGACTAGACACGACTTTGGAGGGGATTAATATGTTAGTTGTGTATAGTGTGACGATTCGAGAGAGTTATCCGTTTTTCGAGTGCGTGCCATAATTCAATATGAAGTGACGTAATGCAGAAACAACATTAATTCCAATAATTGAAAGTACTCACCTAAATTGTGTGCCGGTATTTTTCTCTCTTTGGTCTGTGCGAGCTCAACTACTTGCGCCAGTGTCATGCCCGCGCTACTTGCTCTGCCATGGGGCCTGACATGTTCAGCCTCCGTCATCTCGAGCTCCACATTGTTGTGTTGTCTTCCCTCGTCCATATTCACCGAGATGAACCGCCGTTTTCCCTTCGAGCTCCTGCCCCTCGTTGCTAAGCTCCCATTTCCGTTGTCGCGTTTACTTCCCAGCGTTTTGTCCCTAAGCTCAAAGTTGTCATCGGCATCCAAAGAATTTTCATTCTTGTCACTCGAAGGATACTCCGAACTCATCCCCCAATTGTCGCTGTCGGATTCGGAATCGATCGGGTAGTCGGCATTGTTCCCTGGTACTCCAGTTATAATTCCAGTTTCTAATTGAACTATTCTGTCGGCGGCGCTCTTCGGGGATGCTGTGTTCACGCGCCGCCTTGACAGTGTGTCGAGATCTTCTAAGCTGACCTGTAAGCCGATGTTTACAGTGCCCCAGTAGGCCTTGTTAAGCACGGGGGAATCATCTCCATCATGTAGGGGTAATGTCGTTCCCGCGTCACACATTTTTATTAATTTATTTATATCTTCTTAAATATCAGCTGTGACCATTCCATGGTTATCGATTTTTTGTTGATGAAAAGCAGCAGCTGACGGTACAATTCAATGATTCTTGCCTAAAAACGAGAAAAAAACATGAAACTGTTGTTTGAATATCGTCATTTTATTTTTTTAGTGTTTTAGCAAGTGAACTAAACCTAACTCTTTTTTTAGATCCATGATACGACAAAAGGAGATGAGTGATCAAATCAAGAAATCGGCGTTTCGATGAACCCCAGTCGAATTGATTACGTTGTTATGAATATATCGTCAGTCATTTCCAAAACCAATTATTATTCAATCATTCGTCAATGCGTGTAAGAGAAGAAAATAATTCCCGTGAAATGTATTCAGAAACACAGAAGCACGGAAAATAATGATATTTTAATTAATCGATTTTAAAATATTAGCGTTTAGAAGTCTTCAAATTATTTGGAAGTCTTCGCGTGCAAAGAAATGCGATCAAACATGTCTGCAGTATGCCTACAATCGTGGTTACTCCAGGGTGCACGGTGTTCGACGGGAACATTCACAATTCAGGTATAACCCCTGACCATTATATTCACCAAAAATGTTGAGACTTTAGATGGGTAGAGAGAAAATAATTACATAATATGCATTTGAGCGGGTCTCTTAAATTAGGTTCAGTGCTTTTTCTTGTCATAATGTATGTTCTACTTTGATAATGTTTAAAGGGTTGTAAACACTCACTGAGTTAGGGGGCTTTTTTGTCTTTGAAGAGCAGTTACATTGTAGGTGTGTTAGTCTAAGGGTCTAACTTCCAGTGCACACGAAATAAAATGTGTAGAAATGTCAGGCTAGGTTATCAACGTGTTCTGAAAGAGATGTTTCACATATTTAAAACAACGTGAGGCGGTAACTATAAATGGTGTAGTGTAGTTTATTCCAACCCAAGGTATAGTGCCAAACGGGAACGATTACCTTGGCTGTGGGTGAGTGCGCATATTTTGCAAACAGCAAATATCGAGTACGCTCACGTGTGCTATCATCACTGGATTCATAAAGTCGTAAAGACTGCGTTCGCATTACCGCGTCATCAAAACACGTCATTCACAACAAACACGCCCTGTGGGGGTCAACTATACGAACTAGAAATTAAGTGAGGAATTCACTTCACAATTGCTGTGTCTTAACACTTACACCATAACATCCAGTGCAAGGTTGTTGTTGCTTGAGTTGCAATTGTCTACGCTGCGTGAAGATTGCAGGAATGAGTGAGGTCTACTTGTATGTGTTATGTTGATAGCATTTTCATTTGATAGATCAGGAATCTATTAAACAACAACAATCCAATCGCAAGAACTGTTCTGTCTTTTGCATCGGTTGACCCTAAGTAAGGATTGTTTAGCTGGTCTAACTGTTGTGTGTTACTTGATGATATCTTACTGGCCTGCTCAATTGATGTATTCACACTTGAGTACAAGTTTCTAGGCATCTTTCTTTTAAATTAAATATATTTGAGGACGCATCTGAATACGAGTACGTCTCTGTATGTGTTAGATTATTTTTGTCAATTTAATACTAAATTACCTACAAGGAATTTTTCGGAATATAAAGTCGAGGGTTTGATCTGACTCAAAATGTTATAGTCTACCGCCATAACAATAT